CGTCTGCGTGGAGGCTTTTCCCACTCCTCTGAAGTCTGCCAGCTGCTATCTGGTTACTCCTCGAAGGCCCGCCATGATTAGCCCGGCGCTCGCATTCCTCGGCTCCCCGTTTACTGCAATCTGCACACACATCCAGCCAAGTCAGCGCGACGGAAAGCAGCACCGCCGCGCGCCCAAATCCAGACGGCGAAACGGTCGCCCGACTTTTATTTGGCAAAAGTTGGACGCCCTCACTCTTAAAAGTTCCCCTCAAAATTGCCCATACGAAAAACACGATGTCGGAAGAACGGGAATATTTGTGTACTCGGAGTAAACAGTAAATATTTTTCAAAAGTGATTCCACCGCTCACCTCGTGACATGTCTATATTTTTTTAAATATCTTTTCATAGGACAACGCAGGGGGAAAAAATGAAAAAAGTCAACAATCTGTCCGCTTCCTTGTTTTCAGCATGCCAACGGCGGGCTGGCATAACAGTCCCGTGAACATTTGTCCAGCGGTTGGGTTTGTTGTTGGCGTTGTGGCGCGACCGGTAAACTGGTGTCATCCGCACGTACACGTCAGTCACCTCGCGCAAAACTGTGAGGGCTGAGCATTCGCCTCACCCTCACTAGCGAGCTGGGCGACCAATCGTCTTTTCGATGACATCGCCGCATTATTGAAGTCGGCTGTCAGTCAGCGAGGGGACGTCGAGGGAAATGTCTTCGCCTCGCACGGTGTTATCGAAAAAGGATATTGTCGGCTGTCTGCTGGCGATATTGCAGCTATCAATCATTTCGTAGGCCGTGTTCACTGACATTTCCCGTGAATTATCCACCTCATAATGCCGTACACGCATGCAACCTATAGGAATGTACGCAGGAAAGGCGGTGATGGTAATGCGACTTGACGCCAACGACCATGGAATATATCATCGGAATTATGATAGAAGTCGTCTGTGCATCAAAACGACCCAGGGGGGTCGAAAGCCTCCGACTGAACTTTAAGCCCGTAAAATCATTGAAGGAACACTTTGTGGTGATTTTTTTTTTTCCAATCCACTCACAGAACAGCTTTCATTGTGAATAAAACATGGATCCATTTGATTGAAACTCAATCTCATTTCAAAGTCGGAATCTGATAAAGAAGTGTTGCTTTTGTGATGGGATTAAAATCACATTTCTTTTTATGAAAAAAAAAGACTGATAGTCATTTCCCCCCCCCAAGAACATTTTATGACGCAATATCCATCTAAAATTTGTTTTGACGTATCACGACATAACATGACGAGATGAAATCGTAATCAAAATCCGAGAAAAAAAATGACGATGATGCAAAAGGTGCATGATGAAAATCAAGTTGCATTTCTATCAGACACAAATGTGAATCTTCTAATATGAAAACTTTTCATTCTACCCCCCCCCCACCCCCGATATCCCCTTCTTCCATTTGAGTCTATTGGCACAGAAGTCCGAGCATGCATTCATGCAAGTAGGCACGTGCGCAGGAATTCATAGACACACACAAACACACGCACGCACGTAAACACATTCTGTGTCTACACGTATGACACACAGCAGGCCCATGCAAAGCGGCGGCTAGAGAGAGAGAGCTTGATCTATAAATAGCATGTGCACCTCAAACAAAACCAAACAAAACAAAAAAAATCTACTTTTAAGGAATGGCTCACATTCCACATTCAAACAATCGAGAGGATGTTTAGATCGGCCTGGAAGTCGCATGTGCGCGCGCGCACGCACGCACGCACAAACGCACCAAAGGAATCTCCCCCATTAACACCACATAACCCCAGCGCAATAAAGTCTCCTCTTAAAAAAAAAAAAAAAAAAAAAAAAGTTGTAATATAAACAAATTAACATATGCTGTATTTACTTTTTTTGTTAGAAAAATATCTCGACAAATATATATATATATTAAGAGTTTAAAATGACTAAATAACATGCAATATCATGAGTTTCGTGTCGCCACGGCTACGTTCTTCACACTGCGGAGCGTGTGACTGACTATACTGTGATTCGAAACAAACTTTGCAGCTTCGACAACGATATTCAGCAGGCTACCACGCACAAGCATTTACTTAAGTAAATGTAATGGAGTAGCCTGTTGCTCCTTCGCGCTGTAATGGGATGTGGTGAGCTGCAAGGCTGCAAAAAAAAAAAAAACACTTTTCATGGCTTCATTGCAGGGCGGGGTCATAGGGTGATCCTTTCCGAGGGCAGTCATCGGCATGCCAACGCACACGCACGCACACACACACGCACACACACACACACACACACACACAGAGACGCACAAACTTGGAGCCGGTTTGGTTGTACGCTACTGTATTAGCGAGGTTAAGGATTAGCGCCGCGAGGGCATGTCGTCCATTATGAGGTTGGTGACTTCAAGGAATGAGGTCTTGTCATGGGACCGCCTCACTTTCCAACCCTCGGGCTGTTCGATCGGACTGGTGAATATTCATGCCAACTGACTGTCTTGATATTCTGACAGGCTGCGGGGGCGTTTGTTATTCCCAGTCGTTGTGACGTTGTCGCCCTTTGCCTTAAATGTTTGCACTTTCACGAATGCAACGTTGCGCGCGGTGTTGTTGTGCGTCGAGTAAAGTAGGCCTCGCAAATGTAGGTCTTTGAGACAGTGGAAGTGGGTAAAGCAGGCTTACAGTCGTAATCCGCTTCACAGACACCCATCTGACAGGTCGAGGCCCAGACTGGCGTGTGCGCGCATACACACACACACACTTATAGTTTGTCTCGTGTGGGTCACAATCCGGCATATTGCTCATTTCCACAGGCGTGTCACCCACAAATTCTTTGTTCGATTCCATGTGTTCATTCGGTGACAAGGAGGAAGACCTCTGTTGACTTCGTGGCTTCCTCATGTGCATCACTGCTTCCTGCCTGTGATGTCATCACTCATCAAGGACACCCGTACTAAAATAACCCAAGGAAAGAGACCCTTTTTTTTTTTTTTTAAAAAGGAGCCTCATGTCCATTCATCCCTGCACGTTAAACATTATTCTTGAAAACTCTTGTGCAAAGTGCAAACAAAACGGCATTGCAAATAGCATGAGAAATTCAAGCTTCTTGCATTTTCATTCTGCTACATACATACTTGATGCCTTTTGAATGAGCATTACCCTTACCCCTTTGTCATGTTTATTTCCATCTTATGTTATTGTCACAAGTCTTGGGACTTACTGGGCTAACTTATGATGTTGCCGATTGTATTTGAACATGCTACAATTAAACTGGAAAAAAGAAAAACAAATACCTCGTCCGAGCAATGTAGTACCGTGCATGGATGCAGTACACACAGAACCGAAATTGACATTTAACGCTATCAACATTACTCGCTTTTCACAGATTGGGAAGAATTTGTGCCTTTGAGTCGTCTTATCTTACCTGTGTTTGTGTTTCCACAGAGTTGTCGTGAACTTATTTTTAGGATGCTAACAGTCGTTAGCATTTGAATGGGATCCTCCGTTGACTTTTGTGTTTCACGAAGCATGTTTGGTATTTAAACGTGCAATGTGTGAAATTATTTTTGGCAGCGGGTTTAGTTGTGCAATCAATTCTACTGCGACTCCAACTCGGGTGTTACTAATCACCTGAAACCACGCTCACTGCTGGCAGAATCTCAGCCACTCCACGTTTGCTGTGCATGCAACGTGGTGCATTCAGGAGCCTTTCACAATGTCGGGAACTTGTAACTGCACGAGTCGTTCTGCGCGTTCATCGCCTTTCTTTATCGAAATCACGATATAAATTTCGATTGATCATTCACACACACAAACCAACATGAAGCAGGAGACATTTGTATATATATATATATATATATATATATATTTTTTTTTATTTTGGCATTTCTTTGTTTTGCATTTATATTAAGCAAAGTGCATCTTATTTTCTTTTTTCTCATCAACACATTGCACAATACATAAATAATGATGCATATAAAACGTCTTCATATTAAAAAAAATATATATATATATATGAAACATAAAATACATTTCTCGCCTCTTTATTTTTCGTTAAGTCTTTGAGTCACTTTTTGTGAAGAAGGTCATGTGTTTCTTCTGCTATAACTTTGTTTTGAACCTCTGGAACAAAAAAGGACGATGAGGGTTGGAGGGGGGGATAATGTCTGAGGAGGAAAGGGGCAGGGGAGGCCACCGCTATCGGGTGTTGAAGATGACCTCCAGCCAGCAGGGGCAGCTGCTGATGAACTGTCGCGTGTAGCACTGTCCCCAACCTTTCACAAAGCTGATCTGCACCGTGAAGCCCGTGCGCGGTTGCTGCGTAAACTCGTGGTCGTTGGGCCTCCGTAGACTGCTGGCCTTGTCGTAGTCGAACGCCTTGATGGAGAACCCGGGGAACACCTTGTGCACCAGCAATGTGCGCGAGTCCGGGTTGTCCAGTGTGGCCGACTTGATGAAAATGGGGTAGCAGCTTCGGTTGTACACCCACACGCCATCGGGCTCGCGGGTCAGCTGGATGCCGTAGCCGATCTTGGCGCGCACCATCTGCACCAGCTGCGACTTGTTGTCCGAGCAGAGCTGGCCCAGGCAGAAGCCGTTGCCCTGAGGTAGATCATAGAAGATGTCCAGAGAGGACTCCTGGACCGAGTAGAGGCGCCCCACGCGGGTCTTCTCTTCCCAGTAGGCCACAACACACCAATGGGACCGCTCCCCTGACTCCGGCATGGCCAGGGAATCTAGAAAGGGGAACAGAAGGAAGAAAGGGCTTGAAACTTCAACCGGAATTACAATAACTTGCACGTCATGAATCATTGAAGCTCACTCTGTAAAGTCTACTTTGGTTGGTCTTGGTTTTTGGACGGATGGAACAACGGATCGCGGGTGGAGAAAGGAGTCTTGTGCAATTTACTGAACGTCAGATGACTGCGGGGGTGGCTGCACAACTCCTGCAGCAACTAAAACCACAATTCTCTGGCGGCTATGCCAGTGCGGTGCAGTGTGCATTTACAAAACGGGTTGCACAGCAACTACCAAGCCTCACTGCCAGTCGCTGAAATTGAACCAGAGGTCAGCGTTTACTCTAACAATGTAAGACGACTCTCATTTATCTAGTTGCCAGCAGCACTAGCTCTAACCCCGCTGTTGATTTCAGATGACCCCCCGCCCCCCAAAAATAACATACTCTTCTTAGCGATAGCAACAGCACGACACGATGATCACTCGAAGAAGCAGAAGCTTGATTTGTCATGACTTGTTTCTTCAGACCAGAGAGCCAACCCGACAGAGATTGGGATTGCTTGCTGGAGCGAGTGCCCTTGAGCAAAGCACTAAAACCCCAGACCAGAAAGGCAACCCCACAGAAATTAGAGTTGGTGCATCCCCATGTCATTAGCTGTTCTCCAGCTATATTGTTAGCTGATCTCTCGCTACCACAACAATGACCTGACCTCTGTAGCAAAAGCACTCCGATTTCAGACACCCCTTGAACGCATCGCCCCAGGCAGTTTGCTCATGATGAAATTAACACAATGCAACCACCATCCAGAGGCATTTGAGACTTAATTACAAAAGCAAACCACATCGCTATGAGATGTTGAAAATCGCCAAACAATGTTCTCCACGAAGATGAGCTTCTGTTTGCCTACTTGAATGAACGTAGCTGAGGAATACTAGCTTTGTCATTTTGGACATTTTGTTTTCAAGCATTGTAGACAAAAGTCTGTTCTTGCGAGAACAGAAACTCACCTCACCTCAACTCTTCTTTATTTGCTTAAAACTGGCTTAAAAAAGTATCTAAGTTGTATGCTGCCTTGAGGCCGGGAAAACCAGAGGATGACCGCATGTCTTTAAAAGAAAACAAAAGTCCACCAAATTCCTTGATGATACCGCATAACGGCGCTCTCCGCCCTACTTTCTGCCACGCGGCAAGCAGCCACGTTGGAATTCCTGGAGGCCGAAGCGGCAACCGGGAGACGCTTGGTGGGCAAGTGTCCACACGCACGACATTATTTGTCGAGGCATTAAAAGCGCTTATCTTCTGTCTGGCTCGCCGTGTTTTCGTTAGCGGCGCGGGCCAACAATGTGCTGACGTCACCGCAATCATCCCGCCGCGTGCTGCAGGAAATCGTTCGGCAAAAGAGGGGCACGGAAGAGGGTGGGGTGGGGGGGTGAGTTGAGCGACCGACGCTTCCATAAACATAAACCCTCCTCCAGCCTCCTCGGTTGGGAGAGCACACACACGTAGGGTGCAAGCAAGGAATGGTGGAGACGAGCGACGAGGCCTCGTCGGTCTAAAGTTTCTCTGAGCGTAAAAAAGAAGCACAGCATTGGCGGCAATCCAATTTCCAGCCCCCCTCCCTCCTCATATCTCTATTCCGCAGCAATGTGGCTTCCAGCGACTCACAAGCCGCCACCCCCCCCCACCCCTCAAAAGGTGGGAGCCAGTGAAACACTAGGAAGCTCAGGGTGAGGGGAAGGCGGGGGGGGGGGTCTGAGTGGGGAGCACATAGTTGGACTGCCAACTTTTGCGTCCTTGACTAATTGCGGCGTCCTCTATTGGACGTGTGTTTACTTCCGAGAGCAAAAGGAGCCCCTCGCCCCATCTCTGAGCCCCACCGCACTCCCCCCGCCCCCTTTTCTTCCGTTTCATCTCTCACTAGCCCCCTCATGTAAGCAGTAATTTGGAAGGTCTCGCCGCAGACAAACTGCGACGCTAATGCGGCAGGATATGTGGCGGTCCGAGTGAGCCTCGCCGCGGCCTGTCATTAGCCTTCATTAGACAACACTGGCGGACGGAATCAGAGAGAGGTGGTGGGGGGGGGGCTTTTAGGCAAGAGGTGGTGGGGGCAGGGTGGTAGGTGGTGACTTAAAGCCTTCCATGAAACAAGCAGAGCTGTGTTCTTTGAAGTCGGTCAGAGCCGGGCCTCAGGGGTAGTTTATCGTAAATCCATCCTGGTGGGGGCGCAGGGGAGGGTGGGCCGCCTAAGTACCTGACTATCTACCTTAGACTAAACGCAAGAGGGGGGAAAAAAAAGGCATTTATCTTCCAGATAAGAGACGGAAAACGTCTCTGACCCCGCTGACAGCCTGGTGGTGGCAGTCACCTGCAATGAGTGGATGGGGGTGGGAGCTGGGGGAAGGGGTGGGGAGTGGGGGGGCATAGACCTGGAGAGTATCTGTTTGTTATTGCTGAGAGAGACGGGGCCTGGCGTCAGAGGTCATTAGAGCCGGGCTGCCTGTCTGAGCATGTCAGAAAACACCCCGCTCTTCATGACGACACCGGCCGGGCCCGCTGGACCCCAAGCAGGAAGACGCATTAAATGCCAGAAAGATTGAAGATAAGAACATGGGGGCGGATAAACACGTCAACTGGCAAAATAAGATAAAATGAACAAAACCGGGAGACCGCACAGACATTTTGGGCCACAGTAGTGGGGTGCGGGTACACTGTAAGCAAAATGGAATTTTTAGCAGGCTACATTTTGTATTTACAACGAAAGTACTAATACAAAAGTAGTAAAGTCATTGTCAAAAAAGAATAGTAAGAACATGAAAGATTTTGGAGTGCAAATCGTAGAAAGATGGCAAGAAAAAGTCAGAAGAAGACCATTGAAGAAAAGATATGTTGCTCACAAGTATCGGTACTGTAACGTGACCATAGTTGCAGGGCAAACAACATTTTTTGGCAAGAGAAAGTGGGTGGGGGGGAGGGGGGGGGCACAGGTACCCGGAGCCTCAGAGGCATTTATTAGCTGGGTGAAAGCGATACAGGCGCTTGTTGGCCATGTCAGGAGCTTGTTCACAGCTTGTCCTGACAGCACAAGGGCTACGACTTCATACTCAACACACACACACACACACACACACACACGGGGGGGGGGAGTGCGCATCTAGGTGCCGGATTTTGGACAGCCCCCTCTCCTCGCCTTACAGTCTGACGCTATTTACGGCGCCCACCAAAGGTGCTGTCTGCCTGCGCCTCCGTCCTTGGCGGGCCAGGCGAGACACTTCTTCTGTACGTACATCTGTCTGGATGTCTGCCTGCAAAGGCATTAGTCCGTCTGTCTGTCTGTCTGTCGGACGCTCCACCTGCTCTCGGCGCTTCTTCTCGCTGAGGATAATCTGGCTAGCCGGCAGTCTCGAGGCCATCTGTCTTTTTTTTTGTTTTGTTTTTTTTTGCGCCCATCGGCCGCTTGCGTCATTCTGGCCTGGAGCCTCGGACATAAGGGGAGTGGTGGGCAAAATAATTGACCCTGGAAGATGCGGGAAATGTGGCGGAGTTGACAGGAACGTTGTGGTTACTTTACGTCGCATCTGAGGCCCTAAAACAAATGTTGACGTAATTTGTAATAGAACGTCTACAAATCATGGTCAACCGGCAGTATTTGTTTTGACTGGTCACTTGTTGCTAGGCAGACCTGCCCACCACAGGCACGGTTTACAAGAATGAGATGGAAATACAGTGCAACTCACGACATGACGATGAAAGTAGTAATAGAACAAGAAAAATGTGACGTTGAAGAATAATGTCATATTTTGTTCCCAAACATGAGTAATGCGGGGGAAATCCTCAATAAATGACTAGAAAGGTCATTTATCAAAGTCCCCAAAAAAATGTCAGTTACAAGAACAGATAAAAAATTTCACAAAAAGTAGTCATGACAAAACAGTTCCAAAGTTACAAGAATAGCCTTATAGTCACAAAAAAAAAAAGTTATGTAACAACTCAAAAGAGGTCAAGTCAAAAAAGTCACATTTTGTGAAAAAAAATAAACAAAGTTGCAATGATGAATGGGCCATAAAGTAATACTAAGTAAAGTAAGAGTACAATAGTTGTATTTTGTCCAGGAAAAGCAGTTATATCACAAGTGTCAAAGTTGCATGAACAAAGTCACAAAAAGGACAAAGTCAGAGTTGGGGTTTTTTTTCCCCAGAAAAAGCAAATACTGCAACAATGGGGTGGAGTTATGTAACTTCACACCAAGTTTCATTTTGTTCAGGAAAAAGTTGTGATGTTAGGACGCCTCATGGTTGAAATCGAACATCAAATAAAATGTTGGAGAGGCTTAACTGGGGCTATTCGGATCTCTGATGGGGCTATAGCCTCCCCATAGCCCCCGTGTAGTGTCGTTTTTTTCACCCACACCTTATGACAATCATCAAAACTCCCAAGAACACTAAAAATTGCAATAATAGAGACGAGATGTATTTATACATATGAATTTTCTTCAAACCAGCGCCATCTGCTAACATTAAAAAAAAAAAAAAACTTGGACGGGGACGCGAAGGCTGCAAACGGTGTTCGCGCGCTGCTAAAGCAGCAGATTGCGCGAGCGTCACGCATCATTATGATACAGACGACAACTGAGCATTTTGTGCTCTTTAAACAAAATGGCAGCCGGCGAGAGGGCATAGGCGAGCCGTTTAAGCGCACATTGGTATCGTATCGTAATTTAAAGCGGACAACAACCGTATGGTCTATGATACAAACACACGTGTTCATTAATAATCTGTTGTTTGGAAGACAAGGTTGTGGACCGGGGAGCTTTACTAGCATTGATGCTAAGCTAGCCGAGACAACTGTACAAAAGAGGGTAGGAGCTGGATGTTGGTTGTTGGCTGACTGTGTCCTCGCCGTCTAAAAAGGTTAATCATTACCTAAGTCTGTCTCCGCGCAGACACACACGTACTCACGCACGCACGGCGAGCACGAACACAAATAGCAGCTGAAAGCAGG